GTGACTTTGTGCTTAACTTCACATGTTTCCGTAGGTTTGAAGACAGGACATCATAAAAGTTGTTTCTAAACCTTCAAAGTAACTGTCCCTGGGCTGGTATTTAAGGGTGATTCATTGTGGCAGTGCGCTGTGTGTATAACAAATGTACATTTCTGCAGAAGAAAACTGGTGAAAATTTCTTGGAAGCTGTAATGTTGGCAGGACAAACTTGTGTAGACAGCGGTGTGCAATTGCAACTCCCCATCCCCCACCCAACACACACACACACACACACACACACACACACTATAGATAGAGAATATTGTTGCTTTTCAGGAGATGGTCTTGATCGGATAACTGTCTCATATTTGTGTGTCCCTTCTTATTTCTCAGTACTTTGGCCCGTACACCAACAACACACTGTATGAGACAGATGACAGATACCGTCACCTGGGCTTTCAGATTGAGGACCTGGGCTGCTGCAAAGTGATCCGACACTCGTTGTGGGGGACACATGCTTTTGTAGGGACAATATTCACCAGCGCACCACCTGATACTCCTACTATGAAGACATTGCAGGGTAGATGAACACAGGCTCTGGGATACCGAGTGTAATATGCCTCACCACTAACAGAGTGGTTAGTGGTAAGGACCATATCTGTAATCATGTTAAAGCTTAAAAAATGCTGACACCACAATAAAGCTTGTGAATGTTTTGTCTTTGAAATTAGTCATTTATTGAATGACACATTCAATAAATAAATAACCTGGGCTTTATTAATTACCATAGCTGCCCTTTTAACCACAGCTGTGTTAAACCATTTTTTGCTGTACTTACTAGAGTTTGAAGATATTGCGCTGCTGCACAAAGAGACAAGTTCTCAGAAGATAGTTTTCCGGTTTATCAGCCTCAATTATTCTTAAGAAAAACATGAGCATCCTCAGTGGGAAAAGTCCTCATTTTACAGTTAATGTTAAACTCCTTTCTAATCCTTGAAAATATTTTAGAATCATTACTGGACATACTTCTTGATCCCACCATAAGCTGAGCCGTCTTGTTTTTGTGGCAGGGACACGCTTTCACCTGAAGTGCTCACAATCTTGAAAAATGAAATTTAAGGATTAAAATGTGCTGAAATGTTGACATGAGTAAAGGTAGAAATAGTTTAACTCTAAACTCTAAGATGTTATGCAAATATTATGCAAAATGATTCGTATTTTTTAGATAAACATTGTTTTGTTTTGTTTTT